GAGATTGGCTGGCCACAGGCTTGAACATGGGCAGTCCTTCAGGAGGAAGAGGAGAGGAGGAATTTTTTTGTTGAAACAGCAGGGAAGGGGCACTTAGTGCCCTGCTGCCCCTGGTGCAGGTCTGCGTCACAGGGCACCGCCTGCAGTCCAAGGAGCATCGTCCCCTCCAGGCAGCAGCCCCGAGGCCTTGCAAAAATCCTCGCTTTGTGTAAGCACTAATTGTCAGTGCTGAAAGACTCATAATCTCGTTGAGGAACCTTTCATAGCCGTGGCTAGAAAACAATCTGAGCAGTGCTGACAGGTGCAGCTTCGAGCCCCATCTGATACAAAGGGAGATCCTGGCAATTCATTCACTCAGCGTGCTGGGTTTCTGGAACAGGAAAGCAAATGCTGTAGTTGGCTCTAGCCAGTGCCTTTCTGGCTGGACAGACACAGAGACCTGTCTGTCGCTCTCCAGAGGTCACCTCCGGACTTGGGCTGGGCTGTCACGAAGGGGCGGCTTCTGCAGCCGTAGGCACCTGATGATGGGACAGATGGTTGGTCGTGAACATAATGTTTTGCTGGAAAAAAAATCTGCCTGGGGATGCCCAAAATGTACACTTAAACCTCATATTACTTCAAGAATCCCTAATCTGGAGATGTTCTATGTTGGGTTTTTTGACTTTCCACTGTTAAAAATGTTAGGCATCATCCAGTGACTTAGCAGCTACTTTGTCACTCATTTGCAGCATGGTATATGCCAGCATATAATGCAGGAAGAGTCTGTTTACTTCAACGCTGCTGCCAGTTTAATTTCCGTGATATTTCCACAGCTCAAGCCAATATTCCAGATCATGTATATTTGGGTGGCAAGGTCACTTGCCCCATACTAAACACCTGAAAAAAGGAAGGTTTTGTGCTTTCTCGGTGCTCGGTTCCAAACTTTTCCCCAGCTGGCACTCAGATGGTTGCTCTGTGGTGTGGCTCTCCAACGCTTGTAACGAAGAACTGAAATTTTGTTACTGTTCCAGCATTAACGTGTTGTAATCCAGAAGCCTAGCCCTCCTGCTCCCCCTGGATTAAACACGCCCACTTTGAGATGCCCCTGTATCTGCAGTGTGCAGGGGGAATCTCTTGAAACAGGGAGCAGACGTGACTCATTTTGGGTGTGTGCAGACATGTCCATGCACAAACACATGGTGACACACGCCCTGCAGCACTGGTAGCAGAGCAGAGCAAATGGCAAGAAAAACATTTCTCTTTCCGACTGAATTCCAGCGTGGATCTGATTTGTGTCTCTTCACCTTGCACAAGCTTATGAGCGCCCCAGCTTCCCCATCAAAGCTTTTTTGAAAACTTCAAGTTTGAAGTAATATTGTCAGCAATGCGAGTTGTGGGGTCAGGTGGCAGAAGCAGAGCCGGGAGACTTGCAGAAGAAAGCAGCAGCCCAGCAGGAGCTGTAGATACTCACAGTTAATCACAGGCAAAGGCTTCACTGTCAAAGTCATTAGTGTTTGTTTTGAATTAGTGACATGGGGGTTGAGAAACTCCTGAGAGGAAGAGTTGAGAGGTTTTTGCATTCAGGGAGCTTGCCATCCACGTGCAGGAGCAGGGAGAAACTTGTGTCCTAGGAGGCTAAATCTGCCACCCGGAGTATTTTTCTGAGGAGTCTCAAACTGTTGTTCACCTGCAGCAGAGCAGTGGAGATTGCACTTGTTTTTACTCTTGAGCACTTCTTGTCTGAGGATGTGTGTGGAGAGGTCTCCCAAAGCTGGCACAGGCAAGTTCTCAAAGCAGTGGTCTGCCAAAACAGTACTCTGTTACCCATGTGGAGAGGGTAACAGAGGTATTTGCTGTGAAGTTCGGCAGGGTCAACCCGAAATCTTCGCAACCCACCTGCCTCAGCGTGCCAGGACAGTTTTCATTTCCAACAACAGTATAAGGAAACGAGGCCACTGGGACAAGACAACTCTGGGTGTACGGCTGCGTTTCCCCCTGGCTCAGCATGAGCCACTGCGGTTGACATTCTCCTGCTCAACGCTCTGGTCCAGGATGAGTGAGAATGAGCCCGAGATGCCAGCGAGCTATGCTTCAGGTGAGGCACGTGGAGAGGAGAGTCCATGCTCTGGCAGCTAACTTGTGCTCCTTGCTCTTATTGATATGCCTTGAAAGCGTTTGTTTCTGATGGAGGCTTCCCTGGGATGCAGGGGCTCATGAGGGTGATTTTCAGCTGCTCCGGTGTGGAAAACGTTGGCCTGAGCAATCCATCAGCCAAGTAAATGGTCAGATTTCGGTTTGCCCATTTACAATTTTCTTAGCATGAGCACAGCAGTGAGCAGATGCAGGTAGGTGGAGGAGATGTGCTGTGACTAACTCTGCTTTCCAGACTGTTCGTTTCATCCAGGTCACTCAATGCGGGTTATAAATGAGATAAATGGGAACATGCTGTCTATATGTAACATCAACAACAGCATCTGTAACAGAAGTCGGGATGATAAACTAACGGCATATACGCAGTTATGAGTGTTAGGCTCAGGCAACTTAATTGCCATTTTGAGGAAACACGGATGATGTTTTCCCTGTTTGAAAGAAGTGTGGCCAAATATCACCCATATTCAGGGAAGGTTTGATTTGGATTAAAACTGGTACATGAAAAGCTCTTGGGTTGGTTCTGCCTATCCTGACATGAAGGGGTTAAGGGTTTGGCCCATTCACCCTCCCGAAATAAAGACTGGAAATGAAAAGATTGATGGCAGGTATTCAAGAGAAAGAGGATTGAACTGGAACTAAAGGAACCGAATGGTGAAAGACCAAGTGGAAAGACCAAGGTCCATGAATACCTTTGAGCTAGAAACAGGAAGGTCTCTGGCTGTCTGCAGGGTGGAGCTCTAGGAGCTTCATCTACCTTCTGGAGCTCTAGGAGCTTCTAGGAGCTTCTAGGAGCTCTTCACTACCAGCCTCTGCAGCTTCAGCCTGAGATCACTCATCAGATAAGTTTGTTTGTGCGATGAGGGACTGGGACTGATTAACCCAAGTCCCTTCCAGTCCTTATTTATGCATGTTTGGAATTTTTAGTCATTTCCACTGGGAGGTCTTACCCTTAGGAACTGCGAGTGCATCACACGGCTTAAGAGCAGGGCTGGGCACCTGGCTGGTCTTGCAGTGAGGGAAGGGGCCAGGAGATGCTGATGCGGGCCAAAGAGACGAAGCAGTCTGGGAATGGTTTGAAAGCAGTCCCCCCATCCCCTGTGTGTGTACGTAGACATTCTGGGTCACCCCAGGGGCTGACTCAGCTGACCTGGCACTGCTTCTGGTAGCACCTCTCTTGGCCAAGGTGTAGTCAGGTCCTCTCAGCAGCTCCATGCACCCATGGTGTTATGGGCCATTGGGAAGCTCTAACTCCTTAAATCAGGAGTGAGGTGTAGGGCAGAGCGCAGTGCCCTGGAGCCATGAGTGGGAGGCAGTGTCCTGAGCACAGCTGTGCACAGCGAGGTCTGGGCAGCTCTGAACCAGCTTCTGAAGAGACAAACTTCTGCCTGTCTACACCTGACCCTGCAGACATCTTCCTTGTCCTGGGCACGTGCACTGAGCATTGTCAGTAAGGCTTGCTTTTGAGATCTGCTGCCCAAACCAAGCTCTTTGGTAGGAGCTATGAAGGGTGCCCTGTCCAGAGGGACACGATCCAGCTGTCTCTGTGTGCCTGTCATTGCACAGCTGTGCACCTCAGCAACAAAACTTCACAAATGTGTGGCACTGGGAAGCTGACGGCAAGCAAATATTTTAAGAGGAAATGCAAGAAACCACTGCACAGTTTGAAGGCAGACCTGCAATAAAACAGCTTGAAAATGCAGACATGCTGTGCAAGTTCTGCTGAACTTTTTTTTTTTCTGAAAGGAAAACCACAAGTGAATTTGAAGGGAGATTTTAATTTTTTTTCTGTAAAGTGGTTCAGTTTGAAGTACTGTTGCACAGTCCCCTCATATTAAGGTTATCAGACCTGATCAGAAAATATTCAGTGAGCAAGTAAGGTCTGATTCCTACCAGTGGGCAGGCATGGGCACCTGGGAGCAGAGCAGACCCTGTGCTGCCTGCAGCTGATGGAGGTGAGAAATGCCTCTGCAAGAGACCCACAGGTCCTCGGCACAGGCCCTGACACTGAACATTGCTGGTCCCCACCAGGGAAACACGGGCGGGGGTCATGAAGCGTGGCTTGGCTTTTGGTCCTATGCCCGAGACCTGCGCTCAGAACGTGTCACGTTGAGGCTGGACGGATGTCACGCTGACGCCCCTGCTCTGGGGCAAACTGGGGCTGTGCGCTGTGCAAAACCAGCAACTGAAATGGTGTATACAAAGCATTTTTGCTGTACTCCAAGTGACCCCTGGAGAAGTCTGTACACCGACCTGTTGGTTGCAGGGGCTGCAGCAGGTGGTGCGGCAGGATGAGCGGTGGGGCTGTGTCCCCAGAGGGGAGGTGATCCTGTGGAGCTGCCTGACCGTGGCCGGCTCCCAGCGCTGCCCCTACACTCAAGGGATGTGATCATTGTCTGCCTGGAAGATCACATTGGCAAGACTCAGGGACCTGTGGTGGGGTGGGAGATGGCTGATGTCAGAGCGATGTACCCGTATCTGTGGCAACCAGAATAAATAAATAAATAAATACAGCGTGTGTGCTGGAGCAGGAGGCATGCAAGCCGCTGCGCCCGAGCACGGCTTCCCTGAATATCTCTTAAGCAGCTTAGCACCCTTGCTCCAGTTTATTACCTGAGCGCCTTTGTGTCTGCTGGGTGGCTGAGAGCATCCTGCCACCGGTCCCCTCATCAGGGACCCTGGGAGCCTCCCCCTCCCTTCATCCCTCCCTCCCCGGCGCGGGCAGTGGTTTGTTCCGTGTTTCCAGAGCTTGATGTGAAGCCACCGCTCGGTGGTGAATTTTGGCCCCTCTGTGCAAGGCTGGAAGCATCTGCCCGCATCCCTGCGGTGGGCCTGTCTTCAGGCAGGTGTTTGATTTCTAAACCTGGCAGCCGGCGCCTGTGGGAGGCAAGCAATGCTGGAAGTGCCGTAGCCGAGCCAGAGATGGATGGTGTCGGCAGCAACAGGACCATGTCGTACAGTAGATGGAGTTACAACAGGTATTGTCTATCTTGTTTTGGTTTGTTGTTTTTTTTTCTTTTTTCCTTCCTGATATTGTAAAACTGGCAAGCTGTTTTTATAAGCTGAGACAGAGAGCCCTCTTCAGGAAAGCATAAACCTTTACTGATGCTGCTTTTACAGTCTGAAAGACATTTGAGGCACCCCGGTTTCTCAGTGACTCGAGCAGTGGCATCTGCTGTTGTTTAGCAGGCGTTTGTCTGGAACCCAGGGCGGTAGTTTCACCCTGCTGCAGCAGGACTGGGGGTTACTCCCAGCCCCGAGCAGTACAAGACAAAGGTTTCCCGGGCTCTCTCCTCTGAGCAGGGCAACTGAGATGCAGTGATTGCCTGAGCAGTCACCTAGACTTCTGAAAGGTGATCTCTAGTAACTACTGTTCAAAGCCGGCACCTATATTCTACAAATATAAACTAAAGCTTGGGAAAGGAAGGGGCCAGGGAGCCAGGATGTGGCTAAAGAGTAATATTTTCAAGCGAAAGCTGTGAAGAATGCTGTGTACAGCCCAGGTACCACAGAGCTGAGGGGGCTGAATTAGGTGTCTCACTGAGACAGCTGAAATATTCACACTGTGTTTCATATCAAGATGCAACTATGTATGCGTGTTTTTCCTCTTCCGGGGAATGGAAAATTATTGTAGCATTAGTTTTGCTTTTATGTGAGTCACAGTTGTGATTGACAGATTCTTCAAGCCTGGATAAAAAAAAAGGTACAAACTTCATACTCTTTTTTTTTTAACTTTTTGTCTGTGTAAATGTTACACCTGAAATGGAGCCAGATGCTAAGCAGTATTAGCATTTCACTGAATCACTATTGTAAGCCACCACAATATTCTGAAGAAATAACCTTTGGAAGTGGTTTTCAGTGCTTAAACACGTATTCAGTGTCACCCATACTCCCCGGGTGCATGGGTTTATATGGTTTATACGTGCATCTAGAGAGTTTCACTCATTTTCAGTACATTCATACTGCCTCAGCAGAAAATATATACAGATGCATACAGTGGTGGCAATGGGAACAGTGTCTTCTTTAAAAAAATGTGTATATGTTTATGTATATGCAAAGCTGAGTTACACAACAAGCCGTGTTTTTATGCATATATTCCCCCACACAGAGGATGCTTTCCATCTGATGCCATCTCCTCAGAAACAGCTGCATTGAGAGCCTGTAGTGCTCAGGTCTGTCCCACGCAGTCCAAGTTTGCAGCAGTTTTGATATCCTAACCCTACAGTAAACAATCCAGAAATTTCACAAAAACACCTCTTGGATGCTTTCTCCCAGTGCTATTGCCTTTTGATTTAACCTTATGTATTGCTTGTGATCTATTTCTGCAGTTTTCAGTCTTCCTTACCATGACAGAGAAGTCGCTGATTACTGTTTATTAGCCTTGCATCCAGGAGGTGTGCTGCACTTGTGTGTCTACCCTGCTTGGCTTTCGTACTGCATCTAGGGGAAGAAATGCAATATTTCAGTGCCCAGGCTGTTTTTTTGGTGGCCAGTTTCCAGATTTCGAGATTTTTCCTAATAAATCCAAGCTCCATGAACCGATGCCTGCGTACTGTATGTATTTTTCAGTGCCGGGAGGCTGAGGAGTGAATCGCTGCTTTTATTCAGTTTTCCCTTTCTGAAAAATGGTGCAGAGTTGTTCTCGCACACTGAGCTTGTCCTCCCACACCCCTCTTGTGCCCAGGCCCATGACAGAAGAAGGAGCTAACTCTTTTGTATCCAAAACCCCCGTGGCTGTCACTTGCATTCGGAGCATGTTCACTGCCCCATATTTGGTCTCACTGAGCAACAACAAAAAAAAGGTTTGGGGGAACTTTCTGCCAGGGAGGGAAGGAAACAGGAGGTGCTTGTTTTGAGTATCTGCGGTTCGTGCTGAAGCCTGGGGACACGGGCTCTCCCGTCCAGGCCCTGCTCTGGCAGGACGCGGGATGCCTTTCTGACCTGCAGGCTCACACAAAGCCCCCGCAGACTGCGATTGTCCCATGACTATGTACATGACTGTTGGGGTTTGGATGGGAACATGAAGTTATTGCAAGATTTCATGAAAGTTGTGCTCTGGTGTAGTGGGTTGCAGGAGCTTTGCTGGTGAACTTAAATAACATAATTTGCTTCTTCCTCAAGGGACACTTGTAACCTTGGGCAAGAAACGCTGCTGCTCATAAAGCAGGGTTAATGACGCTTACCTCATTTACAAGACTCCTGGGAAACCAAGTGATAATGCTTGGGTTATTCCTCCTCACCAGTGGCCACAAAATGCTGCTTTTGGGGTAGCTGCTCTGTGGCAGAGTGTTTCAGGCCAGAGCTCCTCCAATATCGGCTGGCAGCAAAGAAAGCATAACTGATGGGGTTTTCTTGTTGAGTAAAAACATAATATTTACAATTCTTAGCTCTGTTACTTGTTACTGCATGACCTGCAGAAGTCACTGTGCTTTTTTGCTTGTGTTACACACACACACACACTCTCACTCTCCCCTGCATTTCCCTGGAGGCATAGGGGTTTAGGCACATACCTGTCTACACGGATGCGTTGAGGCAGCACCGTGAACAGCCAAGCACTGTGCAAAAGCCGACGACTGCTCCTCCGGGTGCATACCCGGGTGTCTCCTCTTGGTGTTGGCCTCCATGAATCAGCATTGCAGTTATAGAGGGACAGGGCTGATGGAGCAGGTGCTGCCTCCCATAAATACAATTGCATCTATTATTTTAAAAAATGCTCATCGTCAATTAAATCAGATGAAGGGAATTAAACAGAGGTTTTGGCCTCTGGTCTCCGTAAGATACACAATGGTGGAAACCCATGGAAAAGAGAGGAGTTTCTATGTCCCTTCTAAATGGCCAAGCATGTGCCTTGCAGATGAAAGCACCTGTGTGCAGCACATGGACATCTTTCTAGGGGGCGTTTATCTGGCATTTGTTGTGTACCTCAGCATTTGGTCCTGTGATTGCGGTCTTCCCTTGGACTTCCTGTGCAGGATTTCTCTACAGGAAAACTGTTGCTCATTCCTGCAGGTAGTTTGTGGAGTGAAGAGAAAGTCCAAACGCTGACTGCGAAACCCAAGGTGAGGGAGCCCCATACAATGAGAAGAGACTGTTCAACAAAGTTCACCTCAGATGCTCTTCTAACCAAAGCAAAGCTTCCCTGCCGCCCCCCCCCCCCCCCCCCCCCCCCCCCCCCTCCCCCCGCCCCCTCGCCCCCCTGACCGCATATGGCATTTCCATGCCATCTGACTTGTTGGCCTTCCTAAAAGGCCAGCCTTATCTCAGGCACGTCTTTGCCTTCCTCCAGTTTCAGTGCTGAGATAATTTCCTCATCACCCTGGATGTTGCCAGCGGAAATCCAGGGGATAGGTAATGATTTAAACAAAAAATGGAGATATTTTGAAAGTCCTAGAAACACTCGGGACTTTTGAAGACAGCCAGCTAATTCCTCAAGTAAGATAATGCCACTCTTCACCCTCTGTCCTTAGTGATACGCTGTTTTCTGGATGGTTACTACTCATTTCTATTTGGTTTCTCTTCCTTCTGAGCAATGTGCTACCTGCTTACCATGCTTATGGCCCCCAGGTGTGCAGAAATGCATCTTCGAGAGCAGAGCCAAACCTGCCCTTTTTCATGATCTTGGTTTCCAGCACCATTGCAGGTTTCAGCAACTGGACTGTCACCCATCAGTACTCCTGCTGCCTCCCCCCAGCTTTGTCTGGGGTTCATGCAGCACCTCACTCTCGGGGATGCTGCACGGGGACTAACAGAGCATTTCCCCATTGAGCTCTTCGGGAAGCATCCACCCATCCTAGTTCACTGATTTCAAATGTTATCCATGCAGGTGTAAGAGCCGCTGTGTAGTACTTTCTTCAGGTTAACCTGTGATGAATTTTATTTAGGTTTAATGCATTTCTGTAGGAGTTCGTGGTCTGTATGCAGGGAATTGTACTTTCAAGGGGCTCTGCTCCGTGCCATGGCAGTTGCTGGTGGTACCCAGCACTGATCAGGTAGAACTTGAACGCTGTGTGAAGCTGACTTCCTCTAGGCAACATGCAGCCAAGCAGTTACTGAAAACATCCAGCGTCAGGAGTGAAATGAGCAGCAGAAGATGGGGTATTCAGAAGCCTCCTCGTGCTGGAGCTCTCTGGAAATTGAGGTGACAAGTGACGGTTTTACAGAGCGCTTCCCGTCATACCCTGGTGGAAATGGAAGCTCAGTGTCATTAATACGATAGGAAGGTGAAAATGGAGAATAGGTTTTAGCTGGTATAAGACTGAAGAGCCATTCTTGTGAGCTGGGCCACCCGATTCCTTCATACCACTTCCAGCAGCTGGACACCAGATGGACAAAAAAATTAACTCTCAACACCACCCAAATTTGACCACTGAAGTTCAAAATGGTGCTCATGAAGGCTTGAGGGAGCTCTGATACCGTAGACATAGTTGAATCCAAGCTCTGGGAAGGCACAATTTAGGAAAGTGTGCAGAATTCAGTCAGCCCATGGACACAGGAGATCAGTCTGAAATCAAATAGACGGGCAAATACTGCAGACTGGGAATCTGTGGTATGCTTTTGGAGAAACTGTGCAAGGCAGTGGTGAACTGCAAGATTTTGCAAGGTTTTTCAGGTGTCAGTGGACTGTGCATAGCTCATATGAGGAGGGTCACAACTGAACGGCTAGTCCAGAAGGGTTTTCTGTAGGAGCAGTAGAAAGTTTTGCAGCAGAAGGAATGCGTAACCTGCAGGCAAACCGAATACCTATGCATGAACAAAGATGTTAGTGTTGCTTTTTTTAAAAAAAAACAAAAACAAAAACAAAACCAACAAAGCTTCAAAAAATGCCAGCTGTGGAAGCAGTAAAAGCCACAGTTGCCTCCCTGCTTCCTCACGTGTCTTCCTGAGACCACTACGTTCACAGTCATTCTCCCCTATCCTCTTCGCTTAATTTCCATACTTTTCTATTTTTTTCCTGGAGACCTTTAGTGCAGCTATGCTG